AATGGGACCTAATCAAACTCCACATCTTCTGCACAGTAAAAGAAATAGTCATTAGAGTGAATAGGCAACCAACAGAATGGGAAAAAATTTTTGCAGTTTACCCATCTGACAAAGGGCTGATATCTAGAATTTACAAAGAAGTAAAACAGATTTACAAGAAAAAAACTAACAAGTCCATTAAAAAATGGGCAAAGGATATGAACAGATACTTTACAAAAGAAGACATACATGAGGCCAACAAACATATGAAAAAATGCTCATCATCACTGTTCATCAGAGAAATGCAAATCAAAACTACATTGAGATACCATCTCCCGCCAGTTAGAATGGCGATCATTAAAAAATCTGGAGACAACAGATGCTGGAGAGGATGTGGAGAAATAACACTTTTACACTGTTGGTGGAAGTGTAAATTAGTTCAACCATTGTGGAAGACAGTGTGGCGATTCCTCAAGGATCTAGAAATAGAAATTCTATTTGACCCAGCAATCCCATTACTGGGTATATAACCAAAGGATTATAAATCGTTCTACTATAAGGACACATGCACACAAATGTTCATTGCAGCACTGTTTACAATAGCAAAGGCCTGGAACCAACCCAAAAGCCCATCGATGATAGACTGGACAGGGAAAATATGGCACATATATACCATGGAATATTATGCAGCCATCAAAAACGATGAGTTTGTGTCCTTTGTAGGGACATGGATGAACCTGGAAACCATCATTCTCAGCAAAATGACAGAAGACCAGAAGATCAAACACCGAATGTTCTCACTCATAGGCAGGTGTTGAACAATGAGAACACATGGACACAGACAGGGGAGCACTACACACTGGGGTCAGTTGGGGGAAATAGGGGAGGGACGGTGGGGTGTGGGGAGCTGGGGAGAGATAGCAAGGGGAGAGATGCTAGATGTAGGTGTTGGGGAGGAAGGCAGCAAATCATACTGCCACATGTGTACCTATGCAACAATCTTGCATGTTCTTCACATGTACCCCAAAACTGAAAATGCAATAATATAAATAATTCGGCAAAAAAATAAAAATAAAATTGGACAAAATTATCTCATATAAATCAAATTAAGCTATAATTATTCAAATTGAAGATTTAATAGTTTTTACCTATTATCTGTGATTGTCAAGCATTTCCAGTATTAACAGGAGAAGTGAAGAAAGAAACTAAGAAATTCAAGTCACAATGTGCTCACTGCAAGAGATACTTTTAAGAGTAAGAAGAAATCTTCCAGTGATAATTTTGTATACTCTGTTAATAATCTTTCCAAACATAAAATTCTACGATAATAGGTACTTTACTTTTAAAAAATTCACAAATATTGATTACATTCATTTGATGTGTGCATATAATACCCTTACTTACAGATATTATGAGCAAAAGATGTCAGAATATACCTAGAGATAAATAATTTCTACATTTATTTTTCTGAGAGTGTTGTAGCTTAAAAGTGATTTTTCTTTTTTAAGAGATCCAGGTAAAAACCTTGTTCATATGAGCAGAATATGTAATTTTAATAATTTGATTAAATAAATTGCTTTTTTATTTGTACTCTCTCTATTAACAAAAATACTCAAAACAGCTACCAGGGTTATATCAAAGAGTAAGATTAATGAGGTAATTAACCTAAGAATAAGTCACACATTGAGTTAGAAATCTTAGACAAGAAACCAAAGAGTCAAAAATGAATAATTCACAATAAAACTGACAAGGCCTAAATAGGATCTCACTTTGCATTCTCCATTAATTATAAGTATGCCTAGATTAAATATAAAACACAAATTTACTAAAAGAAGTGAGAATTAAATTTTCTTTCATTTTTTATAATCTTTTAGTTGACACAGTATAAAGGTACATGTTTGGGGTTACACATTATAACTTAATACATTTACATATCAACCCGAATAATTGGGATATTAATCACCTTAAATATTAATTTATCCTTTGTGCTAGAAACATTCAAATTATTCTCTACTAGCTATTTTAAAGAGCACAACAAATTACTTTTACCTGTAGTCGTCTTTATATTTTCTTTCAGCTTTTTATTAAAATCAGCTATAAGTCACTCAAAAACATCTGAATAGTATTTTATTACCTGGCTATCATTTCTTAATTTTTATCATATCTTTCATTATCATGTCTTTCAATCTAGAGAGTTCTCGCACTCATTTAAACCACTCCTTTCGCGGTGTATTATAATAATCTTTCTCCCCTTGACTTTCTAATGCAGTCTCTATGTTTATCTTACCCTTCTTCATTGAATTATTTCCTTTCATCCCATACACCTAATTGATTATTATACAAAACTAGTGGTATTCATTAGATTTTTTTTTTTAACCAAAATAACCTGGACAAAAATTTACCCTTACATTGTTTATAATATTGTAGAAATAAGTAACTTAAACATTTAAACAATATGTCATATGTTGAAATGTAGCTTCGTGATTCAAAGTTGTATTAATTCCCTCTTGTGTTGAAAAATATCAGAGTTTAGTTTTTATAGTACTTAATTAAATGGGTTTGCATTCAATTGGTATAGGTTGTTTCAATTCTGGGTGTCCAAAATTTAAATACAAATAATTGTATAAAATCAGCTTCCTTCATGAAACAGGAAAAAAAAAAGAATAAATCATGTGGGGGAGGGCAATGATTAATAATTGAAAACCATACATAGCAACAAAATAGAAACCTGTAACTAAATATGCTGACAATAGAGACAGAGATGCCCTAAAAACCTGACACTGAAGAAATGTATTCTGTGAAAAAAAGTCTCAGGTAAGTCATTTTTAAAAAGATGGAAGAGGAGAAAGAAACAAACAACAGACATGACCAGTCAATCAAGTATGAGCTCCAGTCAGGAAACAAGAGAAAAAACAACTACTGTAAGATAGGTGAGGAAATACATACAATAGAAACTTTTGTTCATAATATATTCCAATAATGCTGATTAGTATTTACACTATAATTAGTTATTTGGTTAATGACTGTGTAATATGTATTTTAATTTTCTTATTATATAATAAGGCATTAAATTGGTTAAACATGGTCTTCAGCCACTACCTACAAGATAGAACATTATTACTACAGAGAGAAAAAAAATGAAAAAAAGGAATGATTCATAAACTTTTCCCCTGAATAAACTATTTGTAATCCAAATCCTAAAGGATAATGTATTGCTTGAAAAGATATATTTAATAGAACATGAGTTGTGACTAAAATATATTAAATTTTTAAAATCTAAACTCTACTTGGAGGATGCTAAAAAATATAGTGTAAACTTCTTTCCTATTTACTTCATATCTCTGATTTATTGACTACTTACTTAAAGACATGTTTTCTCAACATACCTTCCCTGAACTTATGCATTCTAACAATTAATAGAAAATATAAATTTAAGGCTTATTTTAGATATGCATTAAATTTAATTATTAGATATATTATTCATATGATCTTACTTATAACATTCCATTATATAAAAAATCCTTTGTCTGCTTATTTAGTTACATTGAAAACCTCTTAAATGCTTTTTATAGGCAAAACTGTATTCTGGGTATTCTAGGATGCACACAAGTATGTTCTCTAACCTCCAGCATCTCATAGTGATGGAAGAGCTTCAAAACAATTATTTAAACAATTAAATACAAAATCTTCTGAAATTTAAAATTTTCAAATGTGATCAAAGATCTTTGAATTATATGTTTAAAAACTACAATTTAAAAATTCTGAAATTAAAATCTTACCACATGCTTATTAAGGGTCTCTGCTTTCAGAACTGGTTATTTACTTGGGGTAAAACCAGCATTCTTCATTGAGATGAAGAGTTTAAAGTATGCTTTTCATGAAATAACTTAGAAAATACACTGGCATCCCTTAGTAATACAGATTGTGAGAAAGAGAATTTACATTTCTAAATTTCTACATTGTTTTTCTAATTAGAGATTAGGTCTCCCTATGTCACCCACACTGATCTCAAACTCTTGGGTTCAAGCAATTTTCCTGCTTCAGCCTCCTTGGTATCTGGAACTATAGGTATGCACCACCATGCCGAGATAAATTTTCATGATTTCTAATATTATTTATGTGTATTCAGAGAACCAAGAGGAGAAACAGAAAAAGCACTCTCCTAAAAATTACATGATATCAAAATAATAAATGCCAAAAAACTCTTTGTTATGTGGTACAGTACGGGAACTGAACAGTATCAGAGAGATTCCTTGATTACTATAATAAGTAATTGGATTCACTAAAGATGCATTTAAGCATGAATTTTTAAAAATTATACTTTAAGTTCTGGGGTACATGTGCAGAACGTGCAGTTTTGCTTCATGGATATACATGTGCCATTGTGGTTTGCTGTATCCATCACTTTATCAACCATATTAAGTATTTCTTCTAATTCTATCCCTCCCCTATAACCCCACCACCTGCTATCCCTCCCCTAGATTCCTCCACTACAAGCCCTGGTGTCTGTTGTTACCCTCCCTCTGGCCATGTGTTCTCATTGTTCAACACTCACGTATGAGTGAACATGGGGTATTTGGTTTTCTGTTCTTACATCAGTCTGTTGAGAATGACGGTTTCCAGCCTTATCCCAGCATGAGTATTTTTTTAAGTTACAATAGAATAATTTCAAAACTCACAGTAAGAATACTTATCCACAAACCTTTACCAATTTTTATATATAATCTATTGTGGAAAAGTTTCTTCTAATATAATGATCCTGTCACTACATATTCTCCAGCCCATTCCATTTTTTGTCCTTCAACCCCTCATAGTATTTACCAATCATTTGTTTTTGACTAAAATAAAAGTATAAATTTTTTAATCAACGAGTCATATTTCTGTAAAATGCTTTTATCTGACCAACTTTATATTACCAACTTATAATAATGATACTTACACCACTACTAAACAGGAAAACTAAACACTACACAGAACTAGAATCCATCTGAGAAAATCAACTTCACAAGAGAACATTTTACCTTGGTAGCAAGATTGAGGTCTTCCTCAACTTTTAGAGACTGTAAATTTCCTATAGTCGGTTTGCTGAAAAGATTTTAGAGCATAAGATACAATAAAATGAACAAATTCATGTACTTAAAAAGAAAAGCTGCTAGCTCTTATCTTGGTGCTTACTTCAAAAATAACAAAAACAGAAACACAAAATCTGGGGAAAGATCAATCCTCTGTATATTATATCATGTTTCTGGATATAATTTAAATAAGGCCTCTGTTTTTAGAAAAATTTTGGTTACCTATGTTTGACTCTACCTCCCCAAACTATAATATGCAATGAAGGCTCAGTCTTAGTTCCATAACAAATAGTGACAGCCAATATATTGGCATACCTGGGGTATAATTTGTCCTCAGAAACCCATCTGTCCTCAAAGATAAACTGAAAATCTACATAACGGTTGACATAATATTTGTTATCTAAACTGGAACAAACTTGATAACCTAAAATGAGGTAGAAAGATACAGTTACCTTATCCCTTATCCATTATCTATCTCTGATTCAAAGACTAATCTGCGTCACTGGAAAATGACATTTTTTGTTTTTCAGCATAAAAAACACTTAAGAAGAACCTGTTGCCTCCCTTCACCCTAAAACACTGCAGAGAGCACCCTAAAATATTTGAAATATTGAAAAGCTGAGCCTACAAATGTCAAAACACAAATGTATATTTGCTACAGGGAATATTTTTCTCAACAAAAATTGAAACATTAAAAGTAATAAAATTGGATTTCTTATTCTATACTGGTCCTTTCTTGTTTGGGTCTACATAAACTAGCAAAGCCTCAAATATCTTCATAGGTACTTATACTCCAGGAGAGAGACTGCTAGAAAAACTGAGACCTGGTGGTTGGATTTCTCAAAGTAATATATATACACAATGAGAAAGACCTGGAAGTGGGAGACGCTATATATAGTGAAAGAGTCTTCCGCTTACAGATCTTTCTTCTGCAGGGCTTCATGTCAGTCTCCAACCTTTAAATATTCAGCTCATCAAAGCACAGATCACTGAAAAGATAAAATCTAATGACAAACCTTGAAGCTCTGCATTTACCTGTTCCTGGAAATGAACTAAATGGAGGCTCAGTAAGTGATTCACCTCCATCATAAGCATGCTATCAAAAATCAAAATGAAGCTCCATGACTCACACGCCACCCAATCTTACCCCTGGTTTACATGTACATGGGTAGGTCATCAGACACTTGGAAAAAGTGAGGCAAAGGGTAGGGGACACCTGCCCTGGGCCACAGATCTATTTAATTCAGCAAACTTCAGTCTCCTAACTCTCAAGGGGCTCCAAGCCACTCCTGTGAAATCTGGGGTGAAAGAACATAAGAGGACATTTCTATCTACTCATAGAGACTTTTCTCAGTGGCTCATTTTTTTTTTTTAAATCTTTCAACAGAAAGCTTGAAATGTGTTTCCTCCTCGAATTAAACCAAAAAGCAGGGATGCATTCAGGACTTTCTTTGAAACCTATTTTAATATGCCTTTCTAGATAACTCCCAAAGTTTTTTTCTGTTTTTTTTCCTCTAATTTATCTCCACCAAACTTGTCAGAATGCCCAATATTCTGATCTCTTTGACAAAATCCTTAGTCCTACCAACCCTGAGATTGTTTCTCTTCAAACTTGGCCTTTCCCTGCTAATTCTATTCTTATCTACTTCCACCAGGTTCTTCAGCTAATTCCATTCTTATCCTTCTCCACCAGTTTAATTAGACCCATTCCCTCTTCCCTTCTATTATTCAAACACTCACTTACATGATGACATAGAAACCAGAGTAATGGGCTTTGAAATGAGTTCAAATGTTGCTTCTGCTACCTCCTATCTTTAAACAAGTCACTTGCAGTTTCAGATTTTCCACCTGAACAACCATTTTTTACAGAATATTAAATACAGATTGAAATATGAAAGACCTTTGATTACTTTCCAAGATTAAGTGAAATCGTAAATTTCCATGTGCTTTTCATTTTAGCTATAGAAAAATGGGGCTGGCAGAAAGGAATAAAATAATAGAAGAAAAGAACACCAAGGAAACCAGAGAAGAGAGTAATCAGGAAAAGACTTTAAAAGTCACGGAAGAAAAAGAAAAACTCTAGAAAAAAATTAAGAGTGCACGCAACTAGGCAGCATACTGCCTTTGAGAAAAACTAAGCTGGGAAATCTGTAAATAGAGGAATCTATAAGGAATAACCTCTAAATATACTTAACAACTTCTGTATGTGATAATCTCTGCTAACAGGTAAAATAATTCAACTATAAGATTTACTTGGTCTTGCTTATGAAACGAAAACCTACATCTTGTGGACGCAGCTAAGTGAGACCTGCTCTAAAAGCTTTGATGGTAAAAGCAAGGTACTGGTTATCACTGCAACTGTCAAACACATTAGAACAAACTATTGGATTAACCAGTGTTCTAAGGGAAGGCTCTGAAAAAAGTTGACTTACAACAACATGTGACTTTGTGAATTGATCCCACGGGGACCCGTACCTTGATTCTACTGATGCACAGGTCTCTACCAATCTATGCTGAGGGGCAAGAGAATGGATTTGGGCTAAAGGTAGGCTGATGGTGAACTCAAGGGTCAGCTACTTTTTAGCTATGAAATCATAGGCCAATTTATCATCCTCTCTGAACCACAGTTGTCTGATTAATATAAAGTGGGTGATAGTAGCAGAGATACTTTGCAAAGCTGTGTGTTGACTATATGAGACAATAAATGTTAAGCACATAACATGTCTACTGAATAGATAGTGGTTTCTTTTCTCTATATTTTCTTAGTTAACATATAAGTTTAAAAAATCTGTAAAATCTTACCTCAGTAGAGACTCTACAGAATTCACATTCTCTATTAAGAAAAAAAGTAAAACACATTAAATCAATAAATTTAAATAAGAAATGAAGAATATTAAAACAGAAGAGGGCATGATGGCATGTGCCTGTAATCACAACTACTTAGGAAGGCGAAGCAGGAGGATCACTTGAGGAGGCCAGGAGTCTGAGAGCATCCTGGGAGACATAGCAAGACTTCAACTTAATTTAAAAGAATCATGCACATTTCCCTGCATGTTTCAGATTTTGTTTTAAAATTTGCTAGGAGCCGTGGCTCACGCCTGTATTCCCAGCACTTTGGGAGGCTGAGGCAGGTGGATCACAAGGTCAGGAGCTCAAGACCAGCCTGACCAATACGGTGAAGCCCTGTCGGTATTTAAAAATACAAAAAAGAAAAAATAGCCCGGGGTGGTGATGCATGCCTGTATTCCAGCTACTTAGGAGTAGAGAGGCAGGAGAGTCCCTTGAACCTGGAAGGCAGAGGTGGCATTGAGCCAAGAATGTACCACTGCACTCCAGCTGGGGTGACAGAATGAGACACTGTCTCAAAAGTAAATGAAAAAACAAATAAATTAACAAAATAAAAATTATAATACTTTTGACACTTTGTTATAAAGACTCAGATGATTTGATGATTTCTTATAAAGTATTCCTTTGGGACCACACATTGAGACTATAGTGAAATTATTATTAAGTATACTATTGGTTGACAATGAATGCATTAAAAACTCTTATTTCCCCTCCTTTGTAGTTCTCAAAGGCAAGGAAGAATAGAATTTATTACAATTTGATATCTACAAGTGAAGTACATTGTACAATAGTCCTAATCTAAGCAGAACCATGTAAGACTGACAGAAAATTGTATCATTAGCAGAATAAGTGGATTGTGTCAACCTTAGAAAGTATAATTTCTAGACAAATGAACTAGAAGCAGTTAGAACAGAGTGCATGCTAGTCACTCTTTATCTACTCTGCGTGTAGAAAGAAATACACACGTGGTTTCCCCATGCTCTCACACCACAACAATCATCAAAAGAGAAGACTTCTGCAACCAGTTGTGTGGAGGATTTCCTCCACCACCAAGTGAGCAATCAATTCTGCAGCACAAACCAGCTGGTTGTTGATCTCTATGCAGTTCCAACCCTATCTAGAAATAGTGCCAAATTCCACAGGCTGAAGTCTCAGTCTCACAACCGCCCTCCTGCACTAGTTGCTAATCTGGGTTTCTGAAACTTCTAACCAGCTGTTAGAAGTTATAACAATGACTATGGCAATGACAACAAAAACGAATTCAGGCTGTTTTGTACCACTAGGCAATTAAATATAGTAGTATAAAAAGATTACAAGGCCAAATGCTTTAGAATCATTAAAGCAGATCCACATGAGGTAAAGTGTAATTTTTTTTTTAAATCTCTAAATCTTATGCTTGTAAATGGCATTTTCTCAAACATAAATACTAACATTGGCATTATTTGTATCAAATTTTGCCATCAAATTTTGAAAAAAAAAAACATTGGGAATAAAAAGGTTCTCAGTATTTCAACTATTTTAATAATATTCTTTCCAGATTAAAATTAAAATTACAAAATTTACCTGCTTTGAATGACTGTATGCCCTTCAATTCTATTGCTTTATTTGGAATAGAAGGTTTCATTCTACAGAAAGGCTAAATGGGTTTGGAAACAAAATAATTAATAATGAATACTTCATAAAATATGCAGTTAATATTCAATATAAAAATAGAAAATTATTACCTTCAGACGAGTATGTTCATCAGGAGAGTCTAAAAAAAGGGGACATATGTAATTGATTACATGCAAGCCTGAAAAAGCCTATCAAACATTCACAGAGTCTGAATATGAAGATGAATCCTCACGCTTGGCTTTAAAAGGGATTGCATTAGGTTTTGGGGTATTTGGGTTTTTTGTATTAGTTAACATGCCAACATAACAGAAATATACCTAAGGTAATTTAAAAAATAGATTTCATAAAACATGCTGTGAAGATTTCAAGAATGACAATATGTTCAGAGTGACTATAAGTAAAGCAGAACACTCCCAATACCAGTGAGAGTAAATAAGTTGTACTTAATAAGATGACCAAGTCAATACCCAAAGAAAATAAATCTCCAAGCTAATGGTAGAATGCTATTGCATATTGTTAAGGAAGCACGTCAGAATCATTTATGTCATTATACTACAGGTAGCTAGCATGTTCTTCAATTTGTCCTGAAATTTAGGAACTGCAAAGTTGTGATGAGAGTTCAAAGCCACAATTTACTTGTCATTGAAGAGAATGTTTTAATTTATCACCATAAATATCTACTTATGGAATAAAAGCTAATAAATATATTCATTTTTTTTATCTATGTGAAATACTAGTAATTTCACTTTTATGGGGTTCTCTAGTTTAGCCCTCTTAAAATTTCCTGATCCACTTATACAGTGGTCAAAGCATATACATCAAAAGACTAATACAGGCCAGGTGCAGTGGCTCATGCCTATAATTTCGGCACTTTGGAATGCCAAG